TTATTAATTAGAGGTAGACGAATTACTCCGCGGGATCGCGGAGGACGCATGTCAATGTTAGGAATCTTCAGAGGGATAGATGATCCCAACATATCATAAAACCGCAGAATATTTTGTCACGGCGGTGTGTATTTTTGCAATTGTCTCCATCGACTGATCTCCCTCGAACGCGGCGCTGCAACGGCGGCGCAGCTCGCGCAGGGACATCATCCGACTATGTTCCGCGTGGCAGTCTCAGTCCAGCAAATCAAAGCAATGGCAGCGCGCGTCGCGCCGCGATGCCCTCAGTGCAATATGTCATCGGGCTGAACAGGACGCCAAGCGAAACGTCTGTGAATTTTGCTATGTTCCGGGTTGCTTATTTGTTTGCTCGATGTCGTTCTTGCGCGCGGATTCTTTGGCGTTCCTGGACGCTCTTCGCGATGCCGCAGCGCATGGTCGGGCCTCGACTCGCCTGGGCCCCGCCGCGGAGTCCGTGGGCCCTGGCCCCATAATCAAAGGAGATCTGCGCCCTTTAGTCGAGGGCTCTGGACGCGGGGTCCGCGGGGCCCCAAATACACGGCCACCCGCGCGCGCTGGGCTTGCCCCCCGAGATGCCAGCGGACGAGGCCACCGAAAGCTGCCCCGAAAGATGGCAGTTTCACATCGGTCGAATCATAAGCGAAAGTTGGGTGAATTATCTTCGGTCTTGTTTTTAACAGTGCGGAGCACCATCCGAGGCGCCGACGGGCAAGATTCGGAGCCCTTGCGCGGCACGATTCGGAGCCCCATTCGGGACGTCGATGGGCAAGATTCGGAGCAGGAGCGCGGCCGCCGCTGGCAAGATTCGGAGGTGGGATTCGGCTACATGAGGTGCGATCAGCGCCGTCCTCAGCAGCCTCTCAGAAGCATCGGAGGAGCCCCTTGGGAGCTTCTCCGGAGCCTCTCAGGATCATCTCAGACTCTTCGCGCTCGCGCCCGCGCAAAGGCGGGTTCAATGACCCCCCGGCGCTGCGTCGTGAAATGGAGCGTGCGATTTGCATCTTTCAGATTTGAGGAGGAAGCCGCATTCACATGCCATCTTGGGGGGGCAGTTCAGCCCGATAAGTCAATTGTCGGCCGCAGCCCCGCCGCGGTCCACCACCTGCTTGCAAGCCTTGCGGAATCGCCCTGCGACGTTCTTGGCCACCGTCTGGGCCTCCTCGGTCTTCAGAACCTGCTTCACCCTTGCGGCGTGCGCAGTTTTCCCCAGTGGGCGGCGTTTCTTCCGCAGGTCGTCCAAGCCCATCAACCTGAGCTTCCTGCGGAGCCACGACCTGCGACCACGACAAAGGCCCGCGACCCGCGCTAGCGACTCGCGCCTGCGACCTGCGACAAGCGACCCGTAAGACGCGGCCCGCGTCCGCGAACCGCGCCTGCGACCTGCGTCGCGGCAGTCGCCACGATGGCCAGCTTCCGTACTTTCTGGAAAGGTAGCGCGGGAAGAGGATGCACGCGCGCTTGCACCCTGCGGCAACAGCAACGATGGCGAATGGCGCCCCCCTCGAAACGGTGCACGGCGACGACGACGAACGCCATCGCTTCATCCCTGTCGGCGCGAGCATACATGGTCTAGCCTGAGGTGGATGCAGCCGAGGAAAAACGAAGTGCAACGTATTTTTCCCCATTGCCGTGACAAAAGTATTATGCGGTCTTCATTCAACACGACCCAAGACTGGCGGAGTAAACGGAGTGGGCGGAGTAGAAATTACTCCGCGTGGACATGCATCCCGTCCCATTTTTCATATGGGAATGGGCTGAGTAATTTCCGATCCTGTTTTGAGATAACAATGTTATTAATTAGAGGTAGACGAATTACTCCGCGGGATCGCGGAGGACGCATGTCAACGTTAGGAATCTTCAGAGGGATAGGAGATTCCAACATATCATAAAACCGCAGAATATTTTGTCACGGCGGTGTGTATGTTTGCAGTTGTCTCCATCGACAGATCTCCCTCGAACGCGGCGCTGCAGCGGCGGCGCAGCTCGCGCAGGGACATCATCTGACTATGCTCCGCGTGGCAGTCTCAGTCCAGCAAATCCAAGCAATGGCAGCGCGCGTCGCGCCGCGATGCCCTCAGTGCACTAAGTCAGACGGAGGTGGAGGAGCAGCAGGGGACGCAGGCGGCTTTTGCTGCCGCGGCGCGCGGGCTCATCCTAATGGAAGTTCATCCAGTGGGCAAGGTGGTTCAAGCAGGGTTGAAGGCAAGTCTCTATACGGTTGCATAACTATATTCGCCACCGAACGTTGAAAAGCAATACCCGATTTGCACCGCCATCTGTGGCGGAGACCCAGGGAAGTGCTTTTCCGGATTGCCCCAGGCAGGCCTTGACATCGTTCATGTGCCAGAGCGGGGACTAGGGAGATACATTGCCGATTCCATCTTTTTTAATTTTCCACCCTAGGCGTTGTAACGCCCCCAACCCAGCAATACGCACGTCTGCATATGTCACGCACGCTGTTGTCCTCTTCAGCTCGCTCCAGCAACCTCCCTCGTTGATTGTTTGTCCCTGACCGCGGCGCACAGTTCCTACTTATAGGAGAGACAATTGTAAAGTCGCAGAGCAGTGGTAAGCATTGTTCCACGTTCAACCAAGAAATTATTAAGTCGAGTCGTCTTTGGTCATGCGCTGGTACTGGCACATGTGCATTTGCCGACATGCGTTCGACGTTGCGATCAGGGATCAAGCTTCCGGTGTTTGTGAATGTTTGTCTCCACGCCACCACCGAAGCCGTATGTCGAGCGTTGAGTGTGCCATGTTCGTTCGTCGTCATGGTGGAGTACCCATGCGGGTCTGGCCCGTCGAATACAACCCCAATGCCCAATCGGCGCCGTATTGCGCAGCATATTTGTGCGTTGTGTAGTATCAAGTTTTTTGTCGTTGGGCATATTGTCAAAATAGTTGCATAAAAGGGCCTCTGCAAGCATGCGCGCTCCTTGCCCATTGTTGCGGCATTCCTCTGGGCAGTCGGTCCCCCGCCCAATTCTTGTAGGAGGTGATTGTGCGCACTGTGTTCCAGAGGGTCGGACGCATGGCATTGCCACCCATGCATCCATTCTCCTAGAGCTATTGGTTGGTTTGGTAGTGCGGGGGGTCGCCCACCCGCTGCCACCCTGGCCCCAAGATGTACGTCCTGCCCGTCCACTGTCGCCGCATGTTCTGCCAGCACGTTCGGCCTCGATCAAGCAGTCTGGGCAATTAGGTGCACCATGAATATCTCGCCCCACTATCGCACTGTATAGTGGCCCAGTTTTTCTTGCCCGATTGCAGGGAGACCGCGGATGAGATTGCGCAGGGAGTCCGCCCAGATCGCCCCGTAAGTTGCCGGCGCCAATCGCGAAGAGCCTCGGAGGCCCAGCCTAGCATATCTCAGTGGTAGTTGTGCTTGTGTTTCCCACGTAGTGTATGAGATGTCATGCACGCGGTTAACCGATCCGCACGCTCAAGTCGGTCCCAAAATGTATCAGAGGACCATGCCAACGAATCTTAACATAATGCTTGTGTGAAGTTCAACAAGCACATAACGCTTGGGATCGAGACCGCGGAGCCGAAACCACATGCATCCAGGCTTGGAAATTTGGTGGGAAATTTGGGGAGCGGATACTCAGACGTCAGTCAGTCAAGTCCGGTCGAGGGGCCTATGGAGGCACCTCGCTCCGCAAGCGGAGCCGGAGGGCGTGAGAGACTACGGCAACAAAGCGCGCATGCAAGATAATAGTAGTGGTCAGGGCATCGTTAAATTACACCTAGTATGCATCAGTCACTCTTCATGAAATCTGGAAAATGCCGTTCCACCCGCTGCCCAGGGAACGGCTCCTGGCTGCGAACCACATTACATATATTCGTGCCGTGCTCTTGTCGCAAAAATGAATCGACGGCATCTGTCCATCTTATACGTGGTCGCCCTTGACGTCTGACGCCGGCCGGACGCCACCGTAGAATTTGCGCCGGCCATTTTTGCGAGTGACCAGTGGCGAGTCGTGCCACGAGGCGCCACATTGAATGATCCAACATGACGAGCGAGTCCGACATTAGAAAAATCTTCAAAACAGCGGTTATTTTCTGTTTGCTGCGTCGCCCCGTTTGCTTGCTGAAACCAACTATCCGGCGGGGCATTTTTGAGCGTGTCGATGCAATTCGTGACCGCTGCTGTGCTGTCATGGCTACTGTCGAAAGACCGGAAACAGCCGTGGGCGCAACAATCGCGTCGAAGAGCCTCAGACGAAGGCGCAAATATACATAGATATATTATATATACCCTCCAGCGATTGCGGGGGAGGCCAAAAGGACTTCTTAGCATCGTTCGAAGAAGGATAAAGGAGAGGGGCGGCGGAGCGAGAGAGAGCGAAAGCCCTCAGGAAAAAGACAGACGATGCACTCAATCACTTTTCGCACGAGCGGCTGACCCACCCCAGCCGATGAACTTCAAGTAGCAATCACATTGCGGCTCACCTGAAATTGCAACAATCAAACGGGACCCCGAAACCTGCACCACTCCAGAGGCCAAGTTGAAAGCCACCGCGCAACAACAATCATCCACAATACCTCTGGCACTGGAAACTGACGGGCTGGGTGGGATGGGTCAAGCGCGCCTTGCTTTTATAATAAGTGAGGGGAGCTCAGGTTTCAGCAGCTGTAAATTTGCGACTGAAGCATTTTTTGGCTGGTTCTGGTAGTCCGTGGAGAATCCGAAGTAACGACCATGTTCACTACACCTCAGAACACTCGTAATAGCTGCCCATTGTCCACGTCTTTGACTTTTGTGAAGAAGAAAGCCGGCCAAGGAATCCATACTCGGACAGCCATGGCACAGCAAATGAGGAACAAACTTTTGAGAAGACATGTTAAGCTGCGACACGGCCTGTACGAACCACTTGCGAAGTTGTGCGGGTCCGAAAGGGGAAACCTTTTGCGCGGGCGCCAAGCCGAGCAGCAGCGGAGACAGCAATGAGTTTAGCCACGATCTGTCAGCATGAGACTCGCCCACCACGATCATGTTGCCCTGGGTGCAAGTCTTACTCATGGCGCCGTCGGGCTCGAGGAAGAACACGGGTGCCCACTCGGGGCTTGCCCTGTCACGCAATGGCCGCACCACGTCCCGCGCCTTGAGGCCGCAAATGCCGCTGATTCTGACGTACGAGTCGAACGACAGGAGGACCGCCGCCGCTGCCAACGGCCCCAGCGGCCCCATGCGCATCAGCGCGACGGCGATGGCGAGGACGGCCTTCCACAGGCACGGATCTCGAGTACCTCGTGGATCTTCGCTCTTGCCAACGTCGAGGGCGCTGAGGGCAGCCGGCAGACTGGATGCCGACGCGCAGCGCATCCACGCGCTGGCGTACAGCGCGCTGCGTGCCTCGTGAGCTCTCGCCCCCTCGTTGAAGAACGTGTTGGTCAGTTGGCGCTCGAGCAAGAGGTCGAACTCGCTGGTAGTGCAATCGGGCGCCGCCGCCCGCGGAAAGGCGGTCGTGCAGGCCCGGAACGACTCCTGATACCTCGCCAGCGTGACCGGCTTCACCCAGCGCCTCGCCAGGTAGCCGGCCTCGGGCGTCTCGCCTATCTGCTCTCGGAGGCGCACCGCCGTGGCCCGCTTCGCCTGGGCGTCGCGGCGTCGGCGCACCGGCGTAGGTGGCCGCGGGTCGGCGAGGCTGCGCAGCAAGGGCACGCTGGCGGCGGCGTCGTGAGTCGCCACAGCCCCACCGCTTTGAGCTGTCGCCCCACGGGAGCTCGAAGCGGCGTGGGCAGCTCGGCGCAGGGGGCCACTTTATCGCTCTATCTCCGAGCGCGGCCTCCAGGCCCTCACGCCATCGCCGGAGGACGGGTTTCTCATGCACAGTTCGGCAAGCTGAAGGCGGCGCTGACAGCGCCTGAACTCGAACCACAGCACGACAGAGAGCAGGCGTATACATGCCCGACAAAGTTGTCTTCCAGACCATCTGGAACTTCTGGGGAGCAACCTCTAGGCGAACTTTATCTTGAGGGACCTCATGGGGCACCGAGCATCTGCATAGCTTCCCAAGATCCTCGAGGCCTTCAAAAGTCCCAACGGGCGAGTCCTCTTCCGATACGGCGTACCGAAACGACAATAGTCGAGCAGCGCCGGCTGGGCCCCCTGAGCCTTGATGAAACTGACGGGAGGGGTCCATCGGTATAACTTCGAATATGCAGGGTTCTCCAGAACCCATTTAACGTCGTACTTGAAGGCAGCTTTCAGAATACGAATTGTAACCATCGCCGTAGCATCGTGGATATCATCAGGAGCCTCAGGGGACCTCTTGGGCATACACCAGTTTGCACAAGGAGTCCCCAACCATATGGACCAAATCCACCCCGATCTGATCAAATCCAGAATCTTCCGAACGATACGGGGATTTGTCAAATCCAAGTCGGGCGATGTCTTCACGTCGATAGGCGTAGCGATGCGGAATCCGTTTTGCAAACACGCTCCTGACAAACGAGCGCATCCCGAGAACAGCTCCAAAATGGCCTTGTGCTTGGGCGCGCGGGCAGCGCGGCTCGTTGGACGGCCGACGCCGCCACTCTGTGCCACCGGGGGCGGCTCAGTGTCCCTCGGATCCGACACCATATCTTGCCGACGAGAAGAAGCTGGAAAAGAAGTAGCTGTGCCCACAGACGAGCACGGCGCACGCTCATTATGTTGTTGATCATCCAATCCTATCTGCGAAATGTGAGATACGCTCGAGGCTGAGGAAATCACCGCCGTCTCGGGAACGATTTCCAAGCTTGGAGGCGCACGAACCTGGTCACGTAGAGCGAGGTCATGCAGTCCACATCGGTGCAGACGGGCGCGAAGGCGGTCAGCCCCAAGGGCTTCGCCAGGATGAACCAGTAGCCGGTCTGCAAGCCGAGAGTCCTCATCTGAACAGTTCCGCTCTGAGATCAAGCGGCGGCGCCGCCAGCGGATGTTGCGGGCAGCCTGAAGGGCCGACGAGCGGCGGCGCAAGGCGTTCAGCTCGCGGTCCTTGGCCCGCCCGCGCTCCATCGCCAAGGTCTCGGACAGGTTGCCCCCCGCCGACAGGAGCTCTGAATCCCAGCGTCGCACGCGCCGAGAGTGGCGACGAAGCCCCAGCAGAGAGGCGCGGGCCTCCTTGTTATGGATGGCCTCAGGCTTGCACCAACCCCCGACGACCACACGTCGCCATCTGAGCCGATCGCTGAACGAGGCGCCGAGGGCCGGCACAGCGTGGGCGTCGATCCACTCGCGTGCCCGTCTCGACGCCCATCGTGACGAACTCGCTTTCCACGAAGAAGCAGTGAGGTCATTCACGTCGAGGTCGCCGAAACCAAGCTCGGACTCGAAGGAGGGCGCCAGCGACGACGACTCTGCGGCAATAGAACTCCAGGGTCCAGGATCCGCGTCGTCGTCCTCGACAAAGGCCTCCAACGTCCTGAAACGCCAGCGCTCCTTCCACGCGATGGCGGGCAAGACCTCCCCTGGGTTGAAGCGCCCCACATGCACTGAGTAACCCGCCTGACTGGCGTCGGGGCAATGCACGGTCGTAGAGGTGTTGAGCCGAAAGTGATGGCGGACGATGAGCACCAGCCCGGCCGCCACCTTGAGCTCAGAGGCAACGTCAGCGGACAACCTGCCCGCGCGGCCGTCGAAGTCTCCCATTCACCGCCAGCACTCGCGCAAGCAGCTCATGAAGGGCGGGGACAAAAGGAAGTGGTTGACGATGTGGCCTATCAGCCGTCTGAGTTGGCGTTCTGATATCTGAGGCAGACGCAGGGCCGAGTGAAGAGCGAAATGCAACCGCCAGGTCCTTTCAGACTTGTGAGTAACAATCGGCCAAGCGCCGCCCGTGATGAGCAACCCAAGCTGCGTCACTACCTCCTCGGCCTGCACCTCATTCCGCCAGACAAAACCCCTTCGCCTCAAATCGTCCAGAAGGCTGGCAAACGCCTCGAGCGCGTCGCGGCGGCCCCAGCAGATAAGGAACGCATTGTCGACGTAAGGTGCCAACGCGGGCAAGCCAGGCTGAAGCGCGGGCACACGCATACAATCTCGAAGAATCCTCGCATCGATCTTGTCACGATCGGGCTCCGCCAGACGCGTCATCTCAGCGACGACCTGAACATCTGTCAACACGGAGTGGCAGAAAAACAAGGACCACGACCACCCCATTGGGATGACCTTCGCGCATGCCCACAGCGACTCGTGCCCGTCCACCGCCCACGTCGACCCAGCGCTCAAGGTCGTCGTCGTGCACACGCTTGACCTCGTAGTCAGCCGCGACGATCTTGCGGGGGAGGCAGAAGTAGCCCGCCACCTCCTCGAACTCGAACTGGAAGTACCCGTCCGCGCGGTCCGCGCCCGAGAAGTGAACGTCGAGGGGGCGGCCGTGCAGCGTGTGCTCGTCCACCATGGCCTCACCCTCTCTCAAGGACATGGAGCCAAGTGCCGCCGCTGTAGCCAACTGGCTGACGGGCAGCTCTTTGTGCAGCACGTTCGCCGGCCGACAGTCTAAGACCGGGTGGAGGTGATAGCCATCCTTCTTGATCGCCGTGAATGCGCCCACGAAACATCGAGCCCGACGGCGAAAGGACAACATGCCAGCCGCGTGCAACTTCCGAGTGGGCGCCTCCATATGACGAGGCTGCCGAAGGACGGGATCTAAGTAAGGTTTGATTGGATTGTCTCGAGCGGCGGCGCATTCATCAGCAGGCGTCCTGAAGATCCAAGAATTAGATCCTCCGCCATAGGCCGGGCGTCGGGCCCGAGAACTGCCGCCAGAGGCTAAAGGTGAACACCTCCGTCTTTGACAACTCTGACCCGCTCCGCATCAGAGGGCCTACGGGTCGCATCGTCAGTCGTGAAGTCGTAGACGTCCAGAGCACGAAGAACGCTTCTGAGAGCGTCCCTCCTTTAAACAGGTCCACAAGGGGGCGGCCCAAGGTCATCGACCCGCTCCCTCAGCCGAGCCCCCACGGCGCGCTGCAGCGCAGTAAGAGCAGATGCGTGTCCACATCGCCGAAGACGATGTCCAGCCCGGGCCGTCGCCATCGCGTTCAGAGCGCCCGCGGTCTCCGTCAGACGCCGATCGCAGGCCGCCGACCTCCTGGCCGTGAGCCCATCAAGAGGAGCAGATCGCCTCCCACACCCAAAGGGGAGCGGGAAGACGCCCCTCGCCGTCCGCGCCAGGTCGTCGCCGACGTGCGGGGCAGGCAGCACGACGTCATGATCGCGACCGTCACCGCCCGGGGCCGTTCTCCGCATGGGAGGAAGGGAACGGGGGGCGCCGCGGCCAACAGCGCGCCCCCGGAGCCGTGGGTAGGTCACCCCCCCGACGACGACGCGCCTGCGCCGCCGTCGCCTTTCTTGTCCTTGTTCTGGTTATTGTCCTTCTGCTTCTTGTGGTCCGCGTCGTGCTCTTCCTTCAGGAGCCTCTCCGACTTCGTGATGATCGCCAGAGTCTTGCGACGCTCCGCCATCTCGGCATCGAACTTGGAGGTGACCACGCCGCCGCTGGTGTCGAAGGCGTGCGACATGTAGGTCTCCAACCCGTCAAAATCTGGGTTCCGAGGGTTCTTCTTCACCGCCCGCTGGATCATCAGGGCGCGCCTCGCAATCATCTCAGCTGACGCTGAGTTGGGCAAGTTGATCTGGTCAAACACCACCATCATGTGCAGCGTGCTCATCTGATGGTAGTGCTCCAGCGCCACGGCGATCCTCTCGCCCACCGTGCTGCTGCGCACCCAGTAGTTGTGGCATGTCCCGAACTCGTAACTCGCGGCCGAAACGCCGCGGGCGAGCTCGAGCACAGCCCTCGAATTTTCGAAGGGGAAACCATCGGCATGCACGGCCTGCTTCATGGCCCGCGCGGCGTCCTTCAACGTCATGGAACGGAAATCCGTGGTCGGATCCAGGCTCAGCGGCAGCAGCCTCGAGTCCCGACTCTCACCACGCAGCTTCTCCTGCATCCACTTGTTCTTGTCGGCCGGCCTGACTCTCTCCGCTGTGGTCCACTCCTCACCTCTCTTGACCAACGAGACGGTGGCGCGATGAACTGAAAGCTCGGGGTCACCGTGGATCGCGTCATCCACCTCCCCACCGAAGAAGCGGGTCGACGGATCGGAGTAGACCAGAACCGTAGCGCCATCAGGAGCAACCTCACCATCGCGCATCACTGGAGCAGCCCCAACGCCGCCCAAGATCTCAGCCCAAGGCCCTCGCTTCAGCACGAATGCGGGCTAGGTCAGGGGCAGCAATGGGATTGTCAAAGGCGCAGACGTTCAGGCCCTGCGGAAAAGGCGCATTGCGCGCAAGCGGAAGCAGGCCCAGCACAACAGCACGGTCGGCGACGTCGATCGCCCTCACCGAAAAGTCGGGCGTAGACCAGATCCACCTCGAGCCGTCGAGCTTGACGAGAAGAATACGATGGTGATACGGAATTCCATCATCTGGATAATGTATCAGTATCTGACGCTCAGGAATGTCCAGACGCATGCTCGCGCAAGCTCAGCACGAAGCCTGCGGCTCGAAGGAGCCCCCGCGTCCTGCACGGCGAGCGCGGGCGGGAGCACGAAGCGGCTCTCCGCCCCTGCGGCTCCGGAAGCCGCCTGCCGGCAGCAGCGGCGCCGAGAGAGGAGGTAGATCGTGAGGCCCACGACCAAACCAATTAGCACACCCAGCGTGAACAGTCGCACTCCAAGGTAGAAGCACGACTCGTTTGGTTCCCGCTGGGGAACCTCGCAAGGGGTACACGAAGGCGAGGCCTTTGGAAATTTCTTCACCAACGCCTCAATGAGGTCCTCCAGCCTCTGCAGCCGACGACCACTCACCGAAGGCGCCTCACACGGCGCGACAGGCGGGCACGTCAGCGCGGGGCACTCCGCACAACGAGGGCCCTCCGGTATGACAGGGAGTGCCGGGCAGACTAGGTCGGGACAGTCAGGGCAGACAGGGCCAGTTTGGCGACCCCAATCGTAGAAATGTCCCACGTGCGACAGTGCGTTCAGCAGGGGCGCAATCCCAGCTGCAATGACCATCCTACGTCTGAGCCACCAGGACTACAGCGCAAGCATTGCCCATGTTGCTCCCCTCCCCCTTCGGGTGGAGGGAAAAGGGGAACAAAGTTACTGGGCATATATATATATATATATATATATATAGATTGGTTCAAAAGTACCGCCGTCTAGGAATGGAACTTCCCCCATGCGCACTCCATGCGGTAGCTCACATTGTACTTTTATATGTTGCGCGAGTAGCCCCGAATTCCTTACCTACGTATTCGTGAAACACCTGGGACGTCATAACCGGCAACTGGCAATCGGCAAGCTGCAGAACGGCGGGCTCTGCGGCATTGAAAACAGCTACGTCGTCAGTAAATACTCGTGTTTTGTGTGCATTTAATGAGAGGCCGCACGCTGACAATTCATCCGAAAGGATGTCCAGCATGCGGCAAACCTCTCCTGTAGAACGCGCATATATCAAATATCGTCGGCATAGCGTTTGTTGCTGAACAAGCTGACGCCTCCAACGTCAAAGCCGCACTGCCGAGCACGCAACTTGAATTTCCGAATTGCGCGTTCCAAACTGGCGTTAAAGAACAATGAAGACAAAACGCTTCCTTGCTTGACGCAGCGTGCATTGTCGAACGCTTCGCTTCCATTGACGCTGCCCATTGGGCACTGTAGATATCTGACAAGAGGCGCACATATTCTACATGAACTCCTTGTTCTGACAATGCTTGGAAAGCACGGGGTGTTCCAGCCTGTCGAAAGTTATCGTGAGGTCAATGCTAGCGATCCACAGTGGGAGCTGCCACGCTCCCAAGCTTCCGTGGACAGATCTTCAAAAACGACAGAAGCGTCGTCCACGGAGCGGCCTGGACATAATCCTACTTGGTCATGCGTTTGTTCTTTCTCTAGATCAAGCTGCAAGCGCGCAAACAGTAGACAGACAGAAGCCAGGCGCCTACACGGCGCATCGGCACGCAAAACTGCTTTGAGTTTTACATTGGGGCGCGGGGGCAAAACACGCCACATGCGCGTGAGAATGCATGGGGGCAGACGCGCCAAATGCGCGCCGAGGAAAACAACAGACACGCCAAATGCGTGCCGGCACGGGGCGAAGGAAGAGGGGAGGGAGGAGCCGAGGCCGAGGAAGGGAGGGAGGCAGGAGGGGAGGCGAAATCAGAGCCACATATCTTCCATGCTGTCGCGCGCGCAACGAGCCCATTGTTGTTTGGGTCTCCCAGGCCTGCGGTTGAGTTCCCAGTTCCTGGGTTCACGCGAGTCTGGCATGCACGTTAGCATCCTAAGCAAGTTGTCAGAGGGCAAATTGCATACGCTATTGTACAGTTTGATCTGCCGCTCAAGCAAAATTGCGCTCAGAGCGGGAAAAGATGCTTTTCCCAAGACTTCCGCGTTGGAAACTCTCGAGATGAACGAAGATGGGATGGACATGATTTTCCTCAGGCAGCGCGCGCGGAAACCGTCCAAACGACGTTTGTCAG